TGCCAAGAATGAGTAAAGCTAGGAGTGATAATCTCAACTCATTGTCATTGAGTTGTCTCCAACTCATAGTGACCCCTCCTTGGGTTTCTGAGGCAGTATCACTATGGAAGTAGATTGCCCAACCTTCCTTTCGAAGAGTGGCTAATGGGTATGAACTGTCACACTTCTGGTTAGCAGTCAAATGCCTTAGGCACTACAGCACTAGAGCTCTTTAGTTCCTGAAAATAGCAAGAAGGAGGCCTGGAATTCAAGTTTTTCTTTCTTTCTTTCCCTTTTTTTCACCCTACTCTCTGCTAATCTAATCCTAGGAGCTAATCCACTGACTTACTTTCTTTTTTTCCTCCCTTGTTTCCTCCTTCCTCCCTCTCTCCCTTCCTTCTTTCCTTTCTTCCCCTCCCTCCTTTTTTTTATATCTAAAACTATGCATCTATCAATCATCTATCTATATATCAAATATATAAACTCTAGTTTAATTAATGTGTATTTTATTGCATAAATATTAGTTAGTGGTTGATTAGCAAAAGTGTTTCTAAACTGCTAAAAGAAAAGACCTATAGTTTCATTCTTCCCTGAATCAATTCCCTTTTCTCAGTTTGAGTTCATAAACTAGTTAAAAATGGGTACCTCACAAGGTGGACAAGAATGTTTAGAAGAATGTGTGCAAAGCTGTCTCCATATTAAAAAAAAAAAAATTTACTAAAAACAAATGCTGAGTAGCAATATTTTTATGAAAAAATATTAGAGAATATGGTTTATAATTATCATTCAACAAAGTTTATAAAAACACTTCTCAATACATCAATAAATACAGATTTAGAATTTAAAATCAAGAAATGTGATTTTGTTATGTTGAGATTGTTAATTATGCTTTTAAGATAATTAATTTTCTAATGAGTTTGAAAGTTTGCATGTTTAGCAAAGTTAGTACCAAACCCCAAACCAAACCTATTGACATTGAGTTGATTCCAACTCATAGCAAACCAAAGACAGACTCGAACTACCCAATAGGGTTTCCAAGACTATACATCTTTATAAAAGCAGAGTGCCTCATATCTCTTCCATGGAGTGGCTGATGGTTTCAAACTACTGACTTTTTGGTTAGAAGCCAAATTTGTTAACCATTACACCACCCAACTGAGCTCCTTTTAAATTTGGTACAGTGTTTGTTAAATGTCAGAATTTCTAATGGACTTAAAAGTGTTTTCAGTGTGTTTCCAATATTTTAACTACAGTACAATTTGTTTTCTGAAAACGGTTGGCAAGTATATATATATATAAATCTTTTTGATAGTAGCTCATATTTTAAAAATGCTTTTCAAAATTTACAAAACGTTTTCACATATATTTTGTTCTTTGGAAGAAATGAAAATTTTCTCTCTTTGTGAAATGCTTGATGTGCGTAGACCAAATGTTGGCATCCTCACTTTTATGGGCAGACATTGAAGCTCAGAGGGTGTAAGTAACTACCTGAAGGTTAAATAGCTCAAACCACATACAGCCTTGACAGTTAAGACTTGTCAAGGGTAGTACCAAGCGAGCAGCATCAGCATCATCTGGGAACTTAGAGATAAACAAATTTTAATGTCTCACCGAGACTGATTGAATCAGAAATCCTAGGGGTGTGGGGCTAGCAATACACATTTTAACAAGCCATCTGGATGTTTCTAATGTCCTCTCTAGCTAAGAACCACTAGTGACCAATGACTTCAATTAATATTTCCTTTCTATGTAGAAGATGTATGTTATCAATACTCCAATCACACAGAAATGCATGCTTCTTATACAGGGTATTTTAAAACCACCACTCTGATCCAGTGAATGCTTTGAGCTCCCTATTTTAACCCTGAGATATTTCAAGTCTTTATTAATGACTTCAAAATTTAATTAAAATAATCTTAATATTGATTAACTTTCTCAAATAATTTAATGGAGTGTACGCCATTGAATTAATTTTTTTCTTTGACAGTTTTCTATGTTAATTATGTAGTTTTCAACTTTTCTTCTGTTCTTTAATTTTATTTAATGTGCTACAATTCTTTTCTGTATAAACTTAACAATGAATGCATGATTTTTTCAATCAGGTTTTTTTTGTTTGTTTAGAAAGACAAAATTTACAATTTTGAGGGTTTTTTAATTATTATTTTTCCAGCTCAAAATTGTCTGTTTCAAATATTGCCAGTCCATATTTTATCATGAAGTTCATGTTCTCCCTTACATTTTTAAGTTAATAACAATTTATCAGATTTATCCAGTTTTATTGGTTGTCAATATTTACCATGTTGATTGTGGTCTCTATACATTTGCCTTTCCTTGTCTTTTTATGTAAGTGAGGTCATGTGATATCTGCCCTTTTACAATTGACTTATTTTACTCAGCATAATATGTTCCAGCTTGTAGCATATATCAAGACTTCCTTTCTCCTTCTGGCTTGTATCAAGACCTCATTTCTCCTACTGACTGAGTAGTATTCCATTGTATGCATATACTACATTTTCTTTATCCATCCGTTAATGGCCATTAAGTTCTTTATACCTTTTGGCTACCGTCAATAGGGCTGCAATGAACATTGCTCTATAAGCCTCTGCTTAAGTTTCTGCTTTTAAGTCTTTTGGGTATATACCTAGGACTAGAATTGCTGGGTCATATTTTTAGTTTTTTGGGGAACCTCCATTCTGTTTTCCACAACAGCTGTACCAATTCCAACAACAATGAATAAGGATTCCAAATTCCCCAAATCCTTGCAAGTATTTGTTATTTTAATTTTTTTTTTTTTTT